CATGCTGGATCGTAAACCTTGAAGTAAACACTTCAGCAAATATTCCACCAGGTAATTTGTTTGGTGATTTAGTTTAAGTTACTGATTTCTTGGAAGTGCTAAGACCCAATGCTTAAAAAAAGAGTTTCTGACAAATACGAAAACCAAAAACTCATATATCTCTTACTTTGAAACCCAAAGTTCCTAAATAATAATAATAATCTATTACAAACTTCCATTGTACTTTTCTTTTTTGAGTGAGATATCTTCAAAAAGCATTTTCAGTTTCTATCAAAATTTCCTCATCAATATTTATATTTTATGTTGGTAGTATTAGCACATTAACATTAAACACAGGAGGATTCTCATAATGGGCATGTTCTACAAAAAAATCCATTTTGCTCTCGATATTTGCTTTCACATATATTTACTCTTGGCAAGGTGTTGATTAAAGAATTAATGTGTCTCTGCCTGTCCAAATAATTTTCAATTATATGATTGTAGCATTATATTCCAATACTAGAATCACGAATTCTTGTTATAGAATAGTTCCAGGAAAATGAGAAGATTATATAAATAAGTCTCTGCCGAGTTGTTGGATCTGTAAACTTCAAAATGTTGTAGAGCTTACACTGGGATCAATGTCTCTTCCTGCGCCACTTAATATTTCTTAGGCAGAAATCTAATTTTCGACAAAAATAGCTAACATTTCATTTGATTCCCATCTTGTTCCTCCTGTTGAAACAGGTTGACTTTTGAATTGATTCATTATCCTGAGCTTCTGGTAAGATGGTCTTGGACTAAGCTTTCTAAGCTCAGGGCTCGTCCTCTCCATCTGCTTTGCTTTTTGTTTCTTCTCTTTTCTTCTTTCTTTTCTCTTTTTATTTTTTTTCCTCCTTCATTTTATTTACGTCTTGTTGAAGAGCTCAGTTGCAATGATGGCATTGGCAGCAGCGCATGAGCCAAGTGCAGATGCATGGGCCCAGCGCAGATTCGTGACAGTGGTGTCAGAGGTGGGTTTGGGTTCCTGGGCTTCTGCGTCCAGTGCAGATTCTTGGGGGTGGTGGCTAAGGAGGGTTTGGGCCCTCACAAGATCCAGCATCATTGGCAGCGACTGGAGCAGTGGGGTGGGTGCGAAGCGGACTCGTGGTGGCAGAGTTGCGTTTAGGCCGGTGCAGTATCCGCCAACATTGGCAAGGTCTAGTGAGGACATGTAGTGGTGAGGGCTCATGGCGGAGTCAAGATGGCACCAAAGAGTGATGACTTTAATTTCACCAGTGGTGGTGCAGCAAAGGGAACTCCTGCCTGGCCACCAGGCTCATGGTGGAGGACTTAACAAGAAGGACTGTAAAGTTGAACACTTTATTTTTCTGCCTGTATATTCTATGTCATAAAATCATAAAATCCCTACAGCATGGAAGCAGGCCATTTGACCCATCGAGTCCGCACCGACCATCCCAAAGAGAATCCCACCCAAACCCAAACCCCTATCGCTGTATTTCCCATGGCTAATTTACCTAGCCTGCACATCTTTGGACTGTGGGAGGAAACCAGAGCACCCGAAGGAAACCCATGCAGATACAGGGAGAAAGTGGAAACTCCACACAGACAGTCACCCGAGGATGGAATCAAACCCGAGTCCCTGGCACTGTAAAGCAGCAGTGCTAACCACTGAGCCAATGTGTCGCCCTATGTTTTGGTTTATTTTTCTGTGTTTTAAGATGGCGCCAGAGATTGGCGATAGTATATAATACTTTTCACTGTATTTCACACTGTATTACGTAATTCACAACATTGATGTTCTTTGTCATTTGATAAGTCGAGTGAACTTTGCTATTAATGCATCCCCAGAGACAAAGAACAGTACTAACACCCTGTCTCCAGCAACAAAATTCTGAGCTTTTATCTGCCCCAGCTTTTATTGTTTTCTGAGCACCTTTCAAACACTTTTTGCAAACTTGCATGATTTTGTTAGTTTTTCTCAGAAACTTGACATATACATCAGAAGTGTTGTTTTGGTTTATAAATATTTACTTAACTAACTTAAGGGATGCTTTCACTTCATGCCCATGTAGCAGTCCAAAAGGACAAAATCCTGTGGACTCATTAGGAGTATCCCTAAAGGCAAACAGTAAAAAGGGAATTCACTTAATTGTAGGATATTCTTGACGTGAAATGATTAGACATGCTCTAATCATGGTATTTAAATTTTGATGTCATCTTTCTTAAGATCCTTGAGATTGTGGATGATGAACTGAAGATATGTGTTTTTCTTCCAAATTCATTATTTCTTTGAATATTTGCAACAAATTTAAACCCTGATCTGATTGTATTTCTTTGTGTAGTCCATATCCTTTTGAAAAAAAAGTTGTACCAACCTTTTCAATATCACTTTTGCCATAATTTTTCTCAAAGGCACTGCTTCAGGAAATCTTTTGAAACATCTATGATTTTTAAAAAGCATTGATTCTCTCTCTTGGTTTTAGGTAGGTGTCCTATTAAGTCCCTGAAAGTTGGTATTGGAATTAAAGGCACCAATTTAATTGTGGTTGAGGGTTCGCCTTTACCTGACACATATGGCATATCTGACATCTTAATGGAATCTTGCAATCAGGTTAAAATGGAGAAAAATAGATAAATCCTTCACTGAAAAAGTATAATGCAATGGTAATGGAGAGTTCTAAATACTTTGTGTGACCTCACAATAACTTTCAGCATACAATGGTGTTGCTCAACAATTGATCATTTGAATTACATTGGGGATTCTCAACAGTCAGCCTGTGCTGTGCGTCAGCAATAGGCTAGGCTCAGAGCAAATTTGTCTATATTACATGAGGTGTAAAGCTCCAACTAATGTAATGTTTTCTGAATAAATTCTAGAATAGAGAAATAATGTATCTTTGTTTCGTGGGAATGTAAAAATTATGACTGGACATTGCCCGTGAACTTCATTTGCAAGTATTCGAGCAATACTGGAAGGTTGCATCTAAACTGTAAATGATAATCCACAGGCTATTTTTGCAGATTGATTATTCAAACAAGTTAAGAGGATTACTTTATAGTTATATTTCAATGGTGAGGGTATAGTGCATCTTATTTCTACACCGTAGTTTATTTCTAGTTGCTTACGAACAAAATCTTTTGGATGTGGGCAACATTGGCAAGCCCAACACTGATTTTCTTTGCTAGTTGCCTTTGAGAAGGTGGTGATCGGCTAGTTGAATTTTTGCAGTCAATGAACTGAAACTCCATAACAGTTGCACAAACAAAAAAAAATCAAAATTCTGACCCAGTTGAAAGAAGAGAAAGCAGAATGAAGAGAAAGCAGTATTCTGTGTCTGTTTGAATAGCATATGACTTGGAGTGTACCTATGAGACCATTATATTTCCATTACACCTGATCCATTGTCTATCCAGATAATAGAAGTTTTGTAAATGCCACTGGAGAAGCCTTGACAAAATGTGCTGTGCATCATCGATTGTACACACTGCAGTTCCATGTTATGAGACACTCAAGAACTAGTTTAGATTAATGGATGAGGTGCTGTACAAGTAAAAGCTATTCCAAAGCCTTTTTCACCTGCCTTCCGTTTTGCACCTGTCGTAAGTTTGAACTCTCTTAGATCTCCAGTACTTTTATTCTAACATACACACTGTTCCCTTAAAGCATCATCCTTGTGTTGTGGGCCTTTCATGGTTTTCAGTTTAGTAACAACTTGATTTTAATATTCTTATTTCAAAATTTCCCCATGCCCTTCCTTATCTCTACAAGCTTTTCCAGCCCTATTATCCCCTAAGACTGCTTTACTCCTCCAATTCACAATCGTAATTTTTTTTAAACTCTACCATTGTTGGTTGTGCCTTTCTTTCCTGTTCTAATTTAATCATCTCCTTAAAATCTTCATTTTTGACCAATCTTTTAACCTGATCAACTGTCTCCTTATAAAGCCCTGTGTTAAATTTTGTTTGACCTGTAAGTGTCTTTGGAGTGCTTTACTATGTTTACTATAAAGACCCCATATAGCTACAGGTTGTTGTTATCATTCCAAGCCAGTGCTGGCCTAAATTCATGCAGGCATGGATTACTTGATTATTCAAGGAATTGCAAAAGCATAGGAGCACTGTGTAAGCGTGAATGAACAGCTTATTCTGACTCTAGCGGAGGAAAATTCATCAATAAAGCAATACTTAAGATTGAGTTAGATCTGTAATTTTTATTCACTATCTATTTGAAATAACCCCGTTTGTTAGTATTAAATAAATGATATGTCTAAAACAGGTGCCTTACATGACAGTTGTCAAAATTATATTCATGATGTTTTGTTATGTGTAAAGATGAAATTAGATGGCTAGTGATGTTTTTTGGAAGTCATCTTTCCTGATAAAACTACACAACATTCCACATCCACTTGCGGCTACTGGTGGGCATTCAGGCAACTAAGCATAAAAGAGACTCCATGAGCATTCCTGTTCTCTATTGTGGAGGACTTACTTGCAGTTAATGAGACTTAAAATCTTATAAGCTAGAAGGGCTTGTGAACAATCTCATGTGGCCATCTTCTGCAATTCTCAACCATGTAAATGCTAGGGACTAATTCATTTGATTTGGGCTTGATGCATTTTTAAAGTTGATTGAGGTTCTTTTTTACAGCTGCTGTTCAAAACCTAGTTGTAAGAATCGTCATGTTTAAGGGAACTTCCACTTGTTTTCTGAAAGGACTTTTGTTTTGAACATTATATTATCGTTACCTCCCAAGACATGATAGCAAGAGACTTTGAGATACATTTTTAAATGCTTGATTCATTTTTGATCCCTCAATGAAGTATTGGGGCTCTTGTGTGTTAACCATATTCACTTACTGGCATTGTGCATGTAGTTATTAATTTTGGCTTATTCAGAAAATTGCAATTTGAAAATATTGTAAAAGAACCAAGTCCCAAAATGATAAAATTAGGAAAATTACATTTGAAATTGTCTTTTTTATATCACAATAAGCTAAACTTAGGTTATATTATTTCAGAAAAATCCTAAATGAATTATCTTCTGATGCACCTGGTGTTCCAAAGATTGATGAAGAAAAATCAGAGGAAGAGGGAGCAACAGCTGCTATCACTACAATGGCAGTGCCAACATCTATCTATCAGACCAGTACCGGCCAATACAGTATGTAATATTTTAAGTTATGTTTATTATTTAATCGATGCTGGCATCAGTGACCTTAAATATTCACTTCAACTAAATATTAGCTATTTTACTGTGATGCACTAACATTATTCAGCAGCATTATCAAGGCATATTTGTTAGTTAAAATGTTGCAGTCCTAATGAGAGTAATTAAGAACTTCTTCCTTGATCTACTGGATATTAAGCCATACAAGATACAGGGTTCTTTTGTTCATCTCTTGCTCTGTGTATAGTGAGTTGAACTCAGTTGCAATATCTTCAGTGGTGTGACCAGTTGAGAGCTAAAATTAGATTACTGTTCAATATCTTACCAGAGATGTTGTGTGTGTCTATCAGCTGAGACCATGCCAGCATTCTGATGCTTTCCTTGATCATAATCTACTGACTTTTGCTGTCTAGCTTCAGAGTTGTATTGCCTAAGGAAAAAAAAGAGTGGAGTCTTACTTTCCTTGGCTGTCAGTTATGTCAAGTTTCCCTGAGGGTTTCCTTCCGCAAGGCCTAGCAAGGTTTCTCACGGTATCTCATCAAGCTCATCTCCAACTACCTACCCCACCCTGTGGTGCCCTCCTTGTCTGATTCTAGCCCTCATTCTACCACTTGCCATCGCTGGACCAACTTGCCACTGTCAAGATATACCGGGATGGACTGACAGCCCTGGCATCATTTTTAAATGCCCATTGTGCAACCAGATACACAGTGTTAATCTCGAGCTGCTCTGCACAGTTCCTGACCTTTGCTGCCCCAGGTACGGCAGACATGGGAAAATTGGCACCCTGCTTTACAGGCAGGGACCTGGACGTCCTGCTAGGCAGAGTGATGCAAATACTGGGCATTCTCTTCCCTCAGTGAAGACCACAACAGCAGACCATACCAATCTTATCCAAGGTAGCCACAAAGATTAATCTTAGTCATCTGGAGGAATGTACAGCAATATATGAAGGTCAGTGACCATCCTCACTCCGCCAATGTAAGTAGCACCATATTTTGTCTGATGCCTCACATTTCTACTACTTGCTACCTCCTACCATGGCTCATGCTGTACTATTGCAATTGCTTGCAACATCTTCCCTCAGAGATGGTCACCTATCCCAACCTCAGGCAGCATTAACCCTGCATGCCCTCAGAACTACTTTCTCCCTCGGTCAGGATACCTCCCCATCTGCAACAAAAGTAACAGTTGTCATCCTGCTTAATATCTGGTTGTGTCTCATTCCAAGAGGAAAATATGCTATAACAGTGCAAAAACAAAGGGTGGTGCACTGCCAGACATTCGAGTCCTCAATCCCAAATGAGAAGATCCTGACTCTCACTGTCCCAAGCATCTGACTGTCCATATCCAAGCCCTTGGATGGATATCAGAGGTTGCCCATGACTTAGTGTACCAGGACTCCCCTGAGCAAAGCCTCTCTATCTTGACATAACTGAGACATGAGAATCCTGACAAACTTCCTGAGTTTGGGTCTACACAAAATGGCATGGAAATACAGCAGTACTCTGAACTGGATAGCTCTGGCTGAAAGGCAAAGGCAAGGCAGGAATACTTTTGGCTTCCAGATAGGGTCAAAGCGAGTCAGTATTAATAGAGCCAGCGAACAGGTTGGAGATGCAGCATGGTCCAGTTGATGACCTAGGTCCATGTCCCTGAGTGCAAAGTTTTCTTGCTGAAGCGTTTGAATGAGAGTGGTACTTTGAATGTCACTGTCCATGGGCATGGGCTATATGTGGCTTGTGCTCATAGACCATGCACTGTGATAGTGCCTGGTGTCCAACACGGAGGTCCTTAGAAGCATGTGATAAGCTGAATTTGCCAGACCTGTTCTGACTTACATAGGGAATTCTCAGCATCCAGTATGTCATAGTGGGTTCTACAATAGAGAGTTGTATATTGAGGCATGGTCCACAATTAATAAGGTCATTTACAATAATCCCCTTTAATAGGCAAATCACCTCGACTGAAGAATTGAGTTCTGAGGAAGGGTCGCTCAACCCAAAAGATTAAATCTGATTTCTCTCCACAGATGTTGCTAGACCAGCTGAGCTTTTCCAGCAATTTCTGTTTTTGTTTCTGATTTACAGCACCCACAGTTCTTTTGGTTTTTATGAAGAATCTTGCCTCAATGCCTGCAACTTAGTTAAAAATATGCAGTGATTTGATCCAAATGTCGAATCAGGCCTCGGTGGACTTCTCATGCAATGTGGCTCATGTCACACCATAGCACACTTCATTCAGGCTTCTATAAAATTCTGTCTATACTTCATTGAAGCTTTTGGACAAAGTATTTTTTCAACAATACTCAAAGTTCTATTCTGTCAAGCAACTGGATGAATTTTGAGGGAAGTTGTAGATGCCAGTAGCTCAAAAGTGCAAAAGTTCAGAGAGTGAGAAAGCTGGGGGTAAAGCTTCAAAATAAACTGGCTGGAGAATGTGATATGTAATTCAGAAATGTACTAGAAAATACATTTTTGAAGTTATCCAAACTAAAATCTGTAAGTTTGTTCCATCGAATCTTTTTAATACTCGAAAGTTAGTCCTGCGCATGTTAGCCTTACATTTTGGTTGGCTCACTAATCAGTGGCTTGTTTCATAAACATAGGACATA